AGAGGGGCGGAGGAATCAAACTCGGGTCAGCCATGTTGGCTGCGTGCAAGGCAAACGCCCTACCGCTGTGCTATCGCTCCAGCCCAGATTTAGGGATGTACAATAAATATATTTTGGATGAATATTATTAAAAATTGAGTTAATTTTTTTTAGTGCTGAATATTAAAATTCTGTTTTGGCTGGGCCGGGGGGAGGGGGTGGCTGCAGGGGCAGGGTTGGGCCACACCGGCCTGTGCTCAGGACTTAATCTTGCCTCTGCAGTCAGGGACCACTCCTGGCAGGACTCAGGACCAAATGGGATATGGAATGGAACCTGTGTTGGCTGCTTGCAAGGTGTTACTAACTTAAAAATTCTTTATGTGTGTTGGATGCCATTCCTGTCAGGTATGTGCTTTGCACAGATTTTCATCTCATCTGTGTCTTGTCGTTTTCTTCTCCTTCTTCTTCTTTTTTTTGGAGGGGGAGGGGGTTTGGGTCACACCCGGTGACACACAGGGCTTACTCCTGGTTCTGCACTCGGGAATTGCCCCTGGCGGTTCTCAGGGGACCATATGGGATGCTGGGAATCGAACCCGGGTCAGCCGCAAGCAAGGCAAACGCCCTACCCGCTGTGCTATCACTCCAACCCTCGTTTTCTTCTTTTAAGAATCTTTCACAGACTTGAAGTTGTTAATGCCAGCTCATGAGTTGTAGTTTCGGTATTATATCTAAGAAGTCTTTGCCGGATTCAAGAAATCCTCCTGGATTCTCTCCTGTCCTTTACTCATGGAATTTCATACTTTTGCATTTTACTTTCAGTTGTACTGGATCTGTATTTAATCAACTTTTTGTGAAAGATTAAAGTCCTGTGTCTAGATTCTTAATATTTTCCCAGAGGTCCAGTTTTCAGCGCCTGTAATTGAAAGCGGGCATCACCCGAGGCCTCTCCCTCCCACTCCCCTCATTGAATTGTCTTTGCTTCTTTGCCAAAGATCAGGGAACTGTACTTGAGTCTCTTCCGGCCCATTCTTCTCTTCCCTGATCTTTATTCCTTCCTACCCAGTCTCTTGATGTAACTTTCAAGTAACTCTTGAAGTTGGAGTCAGCCGTCTAACTCTGCTCTTCTTCAATATTATATTATCTGTTGTAGGTCATTTGTCTTTTCATATTCAGAATTCATTTCTTTCAAGCTATTTGGGGTAGGCTTCTGTGTGAAACTAATAATTTTGTTTTTACTTTTTGAATTCAGGTATATTTTTAATTTTTTTTCTATCCCAGGGTGTATACCCTCTTTATTTTCCCTCATAAGTAGTTATTAAAAATTTTCTCACATTTTTATTATTCATACTCTGAGTGTTTATATTATATTATAATTATATGACATACTTATATATCAGTCTATGCAATGTATAGTACTTTGTAACTATACACACACAGTGTCTGCATGTGAGCAAATACGACTGTACTAGAGTAACTTTAATACTGTCCTTGGGGATATAGCAACTCTCGTAATCTCTACTGGGATCTGTTTAACCACATCTGTTCCCCTCACCCATCTAAAATACCCTAATTACTGACAATTGCTGTGATTTTGAGGAATTTTACTCTTTAAGGGTATTGCCCTTCAGAACATAGTGGAGAATACCTAATTACCATGATCCCTACATTATAGAACTGAGGTTAGGGGTGTAAGAGGCAGACAGGAAGTAACCCAGGTTCAGGGGTCAGGGGACTTGTATATACTGGGAATATAATATGTGTATGTATCTAACCTACAGAGCCAACAACACCGAAAGCATGAAGTCCGAACTATAACAGCCAAACTTAAAAATGTGCTGTCAAGGAAGTCGGGCTGGGGTTGGGTGGGAGCTGGAGGCTTTGGTGGAGGGAAGCTGAACCTGGTGGTGGTATTGGTGTTGAAACTTTGTATGCCTGAAACTCGGCTATGTATAACTTTGTAAATTACAGTGCCTGGATAAAATTTTTTTTAAAAAGACAAACATGGTGGAATCAGAAAAAGAAAAAAGTCAGGGAATTTGGTGGTATAAACAACTGAAACCAGACTTACGTTAACTTTTGGAGGTTTTGTGTGTCTTTCTGTTCTCTGCTCCTTGACTGAATTTAAGTTTTATAAGGACTTAGAAGCTTTATGATAGTGAAAAAAAAAAACTAATATTGTTTTAAACATGTTTTAAGCAGAATAGGTACATAAAATTCCATATTTATTTTTACATGCACTTCAAAAGAGTAGATGGTCTAGCTGTTAATTTCTCTATTTTAATTGTTCATTTCTTGCTTTTTCTTATTAGCATTTAGATGTCAGTGGAGTTATATTCCTAGGATGTTTACTGTGATACTGGAATTTTGCAGTTTGTAATTCAATGCCTGAATTCTGCTCTCTCTCTCTCTCTCTCTCTCTCTCTCTTTCTTTCTCTCTCTCTCTCTGTTTTTCTTAATATGCCATTATGTTTTCCAGGGATTATTTGCTTTTGCTTAATTTATGTAATGCTATTCTGTTTGTTTTGCTTTGGGAGCTCTACCCAGTGATGCTCAGGGGTTACTCCTGGCCCTGCACTCAGGAATCACTACGGACGGTGTTAGGGGGACCAAATGGGATGCTGGGAATCAAACCTGGGTCAGTCGTGTGCAAGGCATATGCCCAACCCACTGTGCTATTGCTCCATCCTTGCACGTGGCCAACCTGGGTTTGAGTCCCAGCATCCCATATGGTCCCCTGAGCACTGTCAGGAGTAATTCCTGAGTCCAAGCCAGGAGTAACCCCTGTCCATTGCCAGGTGTGACCCAAAAAGAAAAAAAAAGAGTTTTGAAGATTTGCAGATTTTAATTAAAAATATATATTTGTGTGTATTACCTTCAGCCAAAATCTTAAATATGTTCTATCCTTATTTTTATTTCTAAATTATGGACTAAAATTCCAAAAGCCAGTAGCCACTTTACTCTTCTTATGATGCCCTGAAGTTACCTAACATAATAGAGTATTCTTAATGATCCAAACAGTTTTTTTAAATTTTGGATCTCATTTTTTCCACAATGACATTTGTTAGCAGAGTCTCTCTTTATAATACACAGTGTTGGATCACGAAACAGTCAACAAACAGGGCATTGTTTAACATAAATGGTGTGCACTGTGCTCAAAAGACTGTGAATTTTTGTTTTGAATTGTTATATAATTTTAGTTCTAGAATATAATACATTTTGTATTTTAATTTGATGTGAGACCAAGATATTTATTTTAGGTGCAATATTAATAGTTTATACTCATTTGAGTTCTTTCTGTGAATTCGTATAATTTGACAGCGTGTGTGGTTGAATAGGTTTTTGTAAGGAAAAGAACAATTTCTTGTGAGCTTGGAAGTTTGTTTTTAGATACATATACACAGATCCACAGACAAAAGTTAAGTGTTGGCATAGCTGTGTCCTGCTGCCTTGTCAGAAAAGGGTAATTCTGGGATTGCATGTGAGGGTGCTGGGTAAGGCGGGAAGTGCACTCATTCCTCTAAGTTCTTACAGCATTTTGTAGGCTGCGGAGGGATGGGGGCATGGGGAGGTGGGCAGGGGTTGCTGAAGGTAGAAAATGGGAAGAACTCTGTATGATGCGCAACGTGGAAGATCAAGGTAAGTAACTAAACTGCAGGTAGATATGCGGGTAGTCTGCGAGCAGTCCGGAGAACAGAACAGGTGAAGTAGGTTAAAGAACTCAATGCCTCTTTTGCAAACCACAACACCCAAAAGGAGAGAGAACAGAGGGGAATGCCCTGCCACAGAGGCAGGGTGGGATGGGGGGGCTGGGGGGTGGGAGGGATACTGGGACCCGTGGTGGTGGAAAATGGGCACTGGTGGAGGGATGGGTATTTGATCATTGTATAATTGAAATCCAAGCACAAAAATTTGTACGTCTACAACTGTACCTCATGGTGAAAACTAATAAAAATTAAAAAAAAACCAGAATATTATGATTGGAAAAAAAAAGAACGTGAGGTGTGGAGGGTGGCTTGGGGGTGCTGTAGTCTGGTTTGCTATGCTGTGTGCTCTGCCCCCCCCAAGTCTTCATCGGAGCAAATGTGCCACTCACTCTTGGAGCACTTCATAAAAATCCTGAGTCACTATTTGCTCTTTCTATAGGAACATGCAAGAAACCTCACCTCAGCTCCTTTCTCTCCCCTCTTTTCCGTCGCCATCATCTCAGTCTAGGCTGTGAGCATCTCACTTGGATTCCCAAGATAGTCTTGATTCTACCTTTGCTCTCTCTGAAGTCACTCTCTGAAAAAGCTGGGTCAGCTTCAGACAGATCCAAGATCATCCTTTTCTCTGAATTTTAGTTGCATTTAGCATAAAATGTTGATTTACCGCAACCTCCCCCCCTCAAGCTTCTAACACCTGGGTGATTCTGACTCCCACAGTGCCCTCCACCGCTGCTTCCTCCCTGGAGCCCCCTTCACATCACATCGGTCTTCCTTTGTTTCTCAAATATGTTCCCTCAAACTTCATGCTCTCTGTCTCTGGAGCTCAGCCTCTCTGCCTCTTCATCGTCATTTTGATCTGAGTTCTGCTGTGTCTTCTTCTGAGCATTGCTCCCCATTTTTAAATACCCTGACCCATCCCTGTATTTTCTGTTTTATTATTTATTTCATGGCACATGACTTTAATTACAGTTCATTTTTTTCCCATTCTATGTACTTAATTATTGTCAGGTATTTTTCAAGGCTCTTGGAATTTGTTAATGAACAAGAAAGACAATGAATCTCTTTTCTTGTGGAATTCACATTAGTAGGGTAAAGAGAAAAGTAGCATGTAATAAGCTTATCGTGTAAGTAGCATGTAATAAGCTTATCGTGTAACTATATGCCGGGTAGTATAGCAAGTATTCTAGACAAAACTAGAGGATGGTATTGCATATTGAGAGATTTAAATGGAGCTTATGGGCAGGATACTTTTAAATAGAGTGGTTAATGGCAATACCCATTGAGTTATTAGAGTTCTTTTGTTTCTTTTATTTTTAGCTTCAGCACCGGTCAGCACAGTGACTAAGAACTGCTCCTCTTCTAACTTTCATTCCTCTTTGGGAAAAAAGAGTATCATCATGTCAAGCATTACGATTGACCCGGATGTCAAACCTGGTGAATATGTCATCAAGAGCCTCTTTGCAGAATTTGCTGTTCAAGCTGAAAAGAAAATTGAAGTTGTAATGGCTGAACCCTTGGTGAGTAGAACTGACCTATAAATCATGAAATATTTTCCTGGCTTTTGTATTACCCGTTCTCATAAAAAATTTTAAAGGAAATAATATACTTGAGAAAAGCCAATCTGAAAAGACTATTTGTGCTGTATAATTTTGACCATATTGGCATTTTAGAAAAGGCAAAACTATGGAGGCAGTAAGGGGATAGTGGTTGTCTGGGGTTGGTTGGAGGTGAGAAAGAGTTAAGCTAAGAAAAGATCAGAGGATTTTCAGGGCAGTGAAAATATTGTGTATGATATGTAATGGACCATACATGCCATTGTGCCTTTTCCAAGTACTGTATCAAGAGTGACTGCAGTGTGGTCTGTGGATTGGGGATGAGCTTGTTGTGTCAGTGTAATTTCGTTACACTTACATGTGCCACCCTGGTGAAAAATTATTTTTTTCTTTTTTTTTTTTTTTTTTTGCTTTTTTCGGTCACACTCGGTGATGCACAGGGGTTACTCCTGGCTCATGCACTCAGAAATTACTCCTGGTGGTGCTCGGGGGACCGACCATATGGGATGCTGGGAATCAAACCTGGGTCGGCCACGTGCAAGGCAAACTTCGTACCCACTGTGCTATCGCTCCAGCCCCGAAAAATGAGGAACAGGATAATAGTACAAGGATGTAAAAAGCTATAATGACTTTAGAACCTGCTTTTCTAAGTTTACTGCAGGTCACAAATGAATAAAAATGGGTATCAGCAATGGTAATTGTTGGACAGTAAAGCTTAAGAGAAAATGAAGGAAAAGTATATAATATTGTCTAGTTCTGAGGGTGGACGGTGGGAGCAGACCCGGCAGTGCTTGGGGCTTGCTTCTGGCTCTCTGCTCAGGAGTCACTCCTGCTGGGGCTCATGGGGCCACATGAATTGCCGGGGATGGAATTATGGTGGGCCATGTCTAAGGCAAGTGCCTTACCCACTGGTCTATCACTCCAGTCCCTCTGCATTTTGATGATAGAACAGTAGCTGGATTTATAAAAATCAAGAAATGAAAACTTATAGGCCATGAGGCATACTTTTAAGAATGTGAGACCCACTGTCTGAATAGAGGAAGGGGAAGGGGGGGTTCACAAATGTTTGGTTCATATTCTGAAGAATTGTGAAATTTATTTTGATAGATATTGAAGCAATTAGTAAGAGCAAGGAGAAATTAAAGGCGGAAACATTTTAGCTGTTGTATATTGTTTAGACTACAATGAAGAGTCTTGAATTAAAGACATCAATAGAGACAATAGGTACTAACAGAAGTAGAACTTATTAACAAATACAGGTACTAATAGAAGTAGAAATTAAATAAATGGGAGTAGGTTGTGAATGAACATGAAAAGTTAAAGTTCTTTGAAGTTTTAAAATTATGGCAATGTATTTACTTAGAGAGTACAGGAATATTATTGGAATAGGAAATGTGAAAGGGATCATTTTCCCTTTGTGTCTGTTTGTTAAACTTTTCAGACACTAGTTATCTAAAACCACCTAGGTTTAATAGTTGGATTATTTTTTGGACACTCACAAGATGATGACCATCTATAGGAGGGTAATAATTAAATTTTGAAAGAACAGGTGATGATCTCAAGGGAAAGAGCAAAGGATAGTATATCGTTAAGTAGGACAAGAGCAGCCAAGAACAGTGACAATTGAGATAATTGGTTGGATTTAGAAAGGAAATAGCCTGAGACAGTTGTAGTAGGAAGGTATGACTTCAGGAGGAAATTCTCAGTTTGAAAGGGATATGTAACAATAGACCAGGATCAAGTGTAGGTTAGTAACAGGATGGGTGTAAGGAAGATGGAGGTAACCGTTAAAAGATTTTTGTTTTTTACACCACTGCATTAGGCATACGCTTTCATCTGGGACTTGGTGAGTTTGTAGCTTGTTGAAAGTCCTAGCAAAGTGGCAGAATGAAAAGTTAGACATATTTATAGTTTTAAGCCTTTCTGCTCTGTAGAACCTGAACCTCCTCAGAAAGGAGGGATGGAGTGGCTGAAGTGATACCACAGTGGGGAGGGAGTTTGTCTTGCACACGGCTAACCAGGGTTTGATTCCCAGCATCCCCCGAGCACTGCCAGGATTAATTCCTGAGTGCATGAGCCAGGAGCAACCCCTGTGTATCGCCGGGCATGACCCAAAAAGTGCCCGGCCCCCCCAAAAAAGGAGGAATGGCGTCATACTTCCTCAGAAGGAAGGGAGGAATGGAGCAAAGAGGCAGTTAAATGATATCGTAAAAAAGGAGGGCAGTTGAAGGAGGTAAGGAAGGCATTATTATTTGTTCTTAGTGAGGTAGGATCAAATACTGCTAATGACAAATGTATGGAAAATAGGTTCATGCATGCTTGTGAGCATCTCTCTGTTCATGAGTGGAGACTCTTCTGAGGGATGCATTAGTGGTGAAGTGTAGACAGGATTGCTGTTAGCCAGGAAAACAAATCTCTGCATTGTGCAGCTCGCAGTTCAAGACGTTCTATGATTGTTTTCTATATAACAAATTAGTGATTATATTAGGTTTTTATATAAGGGTATATGTATTTTATAGCATGCGTATACTATAAGCTATAGTGTGGACGTAAAATTACAGATTAGGTTTCATGACGATAGGGTTTGATTGTAAGTATGTTTAACATATAGAATGTTAATTTTCTTCATCAGTGGTCTATGACTATATGATAGATGGATGTATTAATCTGCTTAGACAGAGTACAATAAGAAAGGGAGCCTCTTTTGAAAACTCCATTAAAATATGAAATATGTTGACTTTAGTCATCATGATAAATATCATATGTATACTAAGATTTATACTTGAAGTTTGCCAACGGTAGAAATTAAATGTTCTTACAGAAAAAGTTCAAAGGTAAATATGTGTGGCAGTGAATAAGGTGTTGCTTGTTGTTGTTTTTGTTGTTAATTTGGGGGCCATGCCTAGCAGTGCTCAGGCTTATTCTTTGATCTTTACTCAGGCATCATTCCTGGCCGGCTCACAGTCCTCTATTTAGACATTACATTTGTGTGTGTGTGTGTGAATTGTGTCACAACAAAGCTGAAAAGGAAAAAGCATTTCTCTACAATTTCACATTTCTAGAAGCATACAGATAAGACTATAATGAATGTCAGGATCCCTCACCCAGCTGTAAATAAGTTCCTTGTGCACGGCATGGTTCTAAAGTACTTTGTGGATGTTAGGAAACATTTGATGAATGGCACTATGTGATCTGGTCCTGCTAACTTTTACAAGTATTGCATATTTCTAAAATTTTTCATTTTGAACCCTGAAGGGCCCCTTCCCCAGCTATCAGCATTCTACCCACTCAGGGCCTCAAATTTATAGGACAAATACAAAATCCTGGCCTTTTAAACATTTTTTTAAATGTAAAGGTCTTGAAAGTTAAAAAAGAAAAGAAAAAATAAAAGAAAAGTGTGGGTGACATGACTTATTTTGAGTGAGTCTTCATAGTGGCAGTTTTTCTTTCTCCCTTTTCTTCTGATCATCATCACCTTCTCCACCCAGGGCCTGCTGTCACCAGGCCACTACAGCCCAGTCCATTTTCTTCTCTTCTACCAGATTTTCCTTCACTTTCCTGCTGTAAATGTCCTGTCTTCTTCTCACTGTCATGGAATGAACTAAAGTTGTGGGTGAGTCATTCCGGCCTCCTTCCATTCCAGCCTCCTCCCATTAAAGTTGGTGTTAGGCCTCGCAGTTCTTGGGCAGGGTTTGTGCCAGGTTGCAATGTTGCCTCTCTGTGCTCCTGTTCTACTGTTTGTTTTTACGTTTCAATTAGTCTGGCCTGGATTTGAGTTCTGGGTTTTTATTTATTTATTTATTTTAAAATTTTTATTAGTGAAACACCATGAGGTACAGTTGTAGACTTATGAATTTTTGTGCTTGGGTTTCAGTTATACAATGATCCAGTACCCATCCCTCCACCAGTGTCCATTCTCCACCCCCAATGATCCCAGTATCCCTCCCACCCCCCATCCCACCATCCCACCCTGCCTCTGTAGCTGGGCACTCCCTTTTGTTCTCTTTCTCCTTTTGGGTGCTGTGGTTTGCGAAAGAGGCACTGAGTGGTATTCATGTTTGGTCTATAGTCTACTTTCAGCATGCATCTCCCATCCTGGGCAGATCTTCCCAACACCCTTTATTTGATGCTCCCTTCTCTATCTGAGCTGCCTTTACCCCTAAAGTATGTGGCTACCTTTACCCCTAGAGTGTGTGGCTGGCCTCCAAGCCATGGAGTAAACCTCCTGGTATTTGGCTAATGGTATCCTCAAAGATGTCACACCACTGGCCAAGCAATCAAAAACAGAGATAGACAAATGGGACAATCTTAAACTGAGTTCTGGGTTTTTAAAACCTCAGCTCGTTCATCCAGACTTTCCTTCTCTCACAGTGATCTTCCTCCTCTAAACCAAAGCAAAATAAAACAGAACAAAAGCCCCAAAACTTTCCTCCCTCAAACAAACAAAAAAACATTTGTCTGTTGCCACCATTCTCTGTTCTCTCTTAGCTATCCCAGTCAGCTCCTGTATCCATCGCATGAAGGTGTCTAATGTGTGCTTCCTGCATTTTGGGTCTCGGTCTCTCCTGCCTCTCTGTGTACGCTGGTCGTGGCAGCATCTGCATAGTAGACGGTGCTTCGTGCTCAGAGCCTGGCTGGGGCAGTTGCTCTTTGCAACAAAACACAGTATAGGGGCTATAGCGAAATGGCCTCATCGTTCCTTTAGAGGAGCCTATGCTAGAAATGGGCAGTTTTATTCGTTCATTTCAGAGACATCTGCTATGTAATCTGAGATGATAAAAATCATCATAGCAATGGGGCTGGAGCAATAGCACACTGGGTTCAATTCCCAGCATTCCATATGGTCCCCTGAGCTACCGCCAGGACTAATTCCTGAGTGCAGAGCCAGGAGTAACCCCTATGCATTGCTGGGTGTGACCTAAAAAAAAAGAAAAAATATCATCATAGCAAGCAAGGCTTCCTTC